GTGCATGCTTGTATTCGCGGTGCGTGTATGTGTGCTTTTCATGCAGGGGGGCGTGACGGAGTTGATGGATCACGGCCAACGAAGAGACGTCCTGATGTGCACTTGCGGTGAAGCTTGGGGAATCGTCGCCCTTCAAGCTGAATATGGTACTCACTGTTGGTACCCACGCCAGAAGTTGATCTTGCACTGTACTGAACTTGCTTGACGCTATTCCTGGTTGCATAGGAAGTGACGATGTCTCGTGCCGTGTTGACCTGTCCCAAGTGGTGAAAGATTTGAGAGCTTCATGGTAACCGATACTGAAACCGGGCGATGGTCACCATCCTGCCGATTCCTCCAGCAGCCACATACTTTTCCATCAACTTCATCGATGACTGCCATGACGTAATGGACTGCACGAACATAGCGTGCCGTGGATCTTCGCAGATTGCACTCGCTAGAACCTGTGGACCAAACAAAACGCAATGATGTGCGTGCGCCTGCCTCGGTCTATCGGTCGATCGCGCCGTTGGTCCCTTATCGCGCGATAGATAGAGTTCGAAAAGTTTCATGAGATCCCCAACCAAACTACCACAACGACAATGTACGTTCAACCACTCAAAGCACTTCAGCCAGTAGATGGACAGATGCGGCCTTGCATGACGCGCGCATCTCGACCGACAGGAGGAAGAGAAGCCAACTTTCTCTGCCCACCCAGCAAGGCCAAGGGCTTGGAATGTTTGCGGAGTTCGTGTTTGCTGCTTTAGGAGGAAGAGGCACCACTAGTGGGCGATCGGTCTTGTCTAGACGACTTAAGGTATTGTAAATGCTGAGAGTACCCTGGGTGATGCGACCACTGAGATTCATCCTGTGTTTTGGGGTCTGTCAGCCTTCCGCTGTTCGTGTCGGCATAGTGTTTGGGAGACAGGCCGCTGCATCACATCGGAGGAGTATACCATGAGACGCGAACAGTCAGTCCGCACGGCTTTGTGTCAATAAGCCTTGTTCGAATCACTTGGGTCTGGCAAGCCTTTTCACAAATACCTAATGTAGAATGTAGAAGCCTAAAGCATTCTAGTTGGTAGTCCTGTTCCCGTATACTTCTCCGATAGGCAGGTCTCCCAACCCATATTCTAAGCTGTATGATTGTACTTATCGACAACTCGTTTGACTGCCCTAAACTTGCCCTAAACCCTAAACTCCCTAAAAACCCTAAACTCCCTAAAAACCCTAAACCCTAAACCCCTACCTAAAACCTAAACTCCCTAAAAGCCCTCTTGGCGGAAAGGTTCTCTCCAGACGATAAGTACTCGGAGCACAGGATTAAGCCTTCGCCTCAGAGGGCTGAGAAATGGGAGTTTCCGAAACTTAGGGCTACCTTATTTTGGGGGTCCTTGTAATAAGGATCCTACTATTTCGGGTACCACATTAGAGTCCCCTGTTTTCGGGACCCCAATATGCTGTCTTAACAAGAGCCGCTAAGGTGCAAGAAGCGATTCGGCGTGCTTAAGACCCAGGTGAGACCATCTCGCTTAACGGTCTTGGCGAGCGATGTCAGTGCTAGCAATATTCCAGTTCTTGCTAGTCCACTAGCGAATCATCTTGGCCCTCCGCACCACCTGGCAAGTCCATAAGCAAGACCATGCGAGCGTGAGATTGCCAGGCGAAACCAGAAGAGCTTTGAAGCATCTGATGACGCACCTCGGCCTAAGTAAAGCTGGGAATCTGCCAAGGTGACGACTGAAGACACTTCGGCATCAACCCTGCCGAATACATCCGACTTCGTCGGCTTTCGGGTTTGGGCATCCCGATGTAGAGCATGATCCGGTCGAGGTACGGCCTTCCGCGCGATGAGCAGTGTTTCACCATGACACAGAAATGCTGGAGTACACTCAAAAGGCCTAAGGACGTAAGCCCAAATGAAGCTGTTTCGTGCCCGACGTGGATCAGATGTCAACAGCAGCTGGCCCTTGAGAGTGCTTCCAGACTGGCCTCAAAGTCAGGGATTCGAACGAGATGAACACGCCACACATTGCAAAAGAATTCGTACCTTGTGGCTGGTCTACAATGAGTATCACAAAATTCTGAATTTCTTATAACAAAATGGGCCTTTCTGGTTTGATATATGAGTCGATATTTATATGACGGTTTGATATAGATATTGGAGACATGTAATGAATATTATTAGCAAAATGCCAGCATTTAGCATGGGTTCATCTCAATGTTGACTCAAGCTGAGGCTTGCGCAACCGTGCGCACTCCCGAACAGTGTGATGTTGATAAGATTGTACTGCAGGTTGTACGTGTTTTACCACAGTTGGTTGTAGAAGTATCTTTTCATGTGAATTTTCCGCCAAGATTGAAGACCTCGCCCGTTGGCATGAACGATTTGTCACCGCAACAAAACCCGAACACTACAGACTACAGGCCTTGATATGGCCGTCTTCTTGCTAACTATTTTGACAAGTCAACCTGGCATCGGAGGATTTTCTCAAGGAGCTTCTGTGTAGTCTCGCCATCACTTTTAATTGTATAGCTTCTGTACAAACCGCGATGGCCAGCAGCCAGCTCCTCAGTCGTTCACACGTGCGGTGGCCTCAACTTTTTTCACGCTTTGTACAATCCAGCCTGCCAGATGTAGGGATTGTCGAAGGGATGTTGGTCTAGGGAAAGACTCTTGAAAATTTACGCCGCCCCACATCATGCACTGAAACAGATCCACCAGGTTCACGCCTCGTATCCCGACCTGAGCTGCACGTTGCTGTCGAGGCCAGAAGTCCATCTTGGCCGTCGCCGCCGGTGCGACTGCCATGGCCTCCATGGCGCCTTGGCATGAAAATGCGGTTCGGCCGGATGTCGGGCTGATTGTGCGCGTTCTCCGCGGTGACATTATATCTAAGACGAAGCCGTGACAAACCCACAGAAACACACACACACACACACATAAGTATAAACAAATCTAGAGATAACGAGAGGCTCACTGTATGACCGCAAAGTGTGTGTGTGTGTTGTGTGTGTGTGTGTGTGTTGTGTGTGTGTGTGTTGTGTGTGTGTGTGTGTGTGTGTGTGTGTGTGTGTGTGTGTGTGTGTGTGTGTGTGTGTGTGTGTGTGTGTGTGTGTGTGTGGGTGTGTGTGTGTGTGTGTGTGTGGGGTGTGTGTGTGTGTGTGGGGTGTGTGTGTGTGTGTGTGTGGGGTGTGTGTGTGTGGGGTGTGTGTGTGTGTGTGTGTGTGTGTGTGTGTGTGTGTGTGTGTGTGTGTGTGTGTGTGTGTGTGTGTGTGTGTGTGTGTGTGGGTGTGTGTGGGGGTGTGTGTGTGTGTGTGTGTGTGTGTGTGTGTGTGTGTGTGTGTGTGTGTGTGTGTGTGTGTGTGTGTGTGTGTGTGTGTGGGTGGGGGGTGGGTGGGTGGGTGGGTGGTGGGTGGGTGGGTGGGTGGGTGGGTGGTGGCGGGTGCGTGTGTTGTGCGTGTGCGTGTGCGTGTGCGTGTGCGTGTGCGTGCGTGCGTGTGCGTGTGTGCGTGTGCGTGTGCGGTGCGTGTGCGTGTGCGTGTGCGTGTGCGTGTGCGTGTGCGTGTGCGTGTGCGTGTGCGTGGCGTCGTGGGCGTGGCGTGGGCGTGGGTGCGCGTGCGCGTGCGCGTGCGCGTGCGCGTGCGCGTGCGCGTGCGCGTGCGCGTGCGCGCGTCGCGTGCGCTGCGCGTGCGCGTGCGCGTGCGCGTGCGCGTGCGCGTGCGCGTGCGCGTGCGTGGCGCGGCGCGTGCGCGTGCGCGTGCTGCGTGCGTGCGCGTGCGCGTGCGGCGTGCGCGTTCGCGTGCGCGTGCGCGTGAGCGTGCGCGTGCGCGTGCGCGCGTGCGTGCGCGCGCTGCGCACCACCGTTGGGATGCAGCAAACTGCCTTTGGTGGCAATCGTGTCTGACAAACGGACATTGCATTCTCATGCAGAGGTACGGTATGTATAATATTTAAAGGAGCTCACATTGTAATTATGGCATGAGCAGTTGTTTTGTTTGCTTACTACATTTCATGTGTATCCTGTGTATCACATAGGAACATGCACTACATGGAATTTCACGTATCCGTTCACAAAGCGATGCACCCGCCATATGGAACACATTCCTGAAGGCTTCAAGAATCAAGGTTCCAGCCGCGGGCCTTTTTTTTGTTAGGCTGACGTTTCGGGATGGAGTATGGCGCCTGAGTATCGAATCACTTGGGAGCGCCAGTAATTAGATGCCAGGATATTTCTCACAAGCCACAGGCAATATTGGCACCTTAGTTCCCGTGACGCGCAGTCAGGCCTTCGTTCAGAGCGGCCCAGCAGGTCAGGTCACGCGCCGAGCTTGGGGCTGGATTTGTTATTCGGGGCTCGCATGAAATTTGGAGTTTTCGCAGAATCGAGAGGGCCGTCCTCTAGTCGGGCAGTCTTGTGTCATCAACTAGGGAGAACACTTTCGCTCTGGTGGGACGGCGGCGATTGAAACGAAGGCTGCCCCTGAGAGAAGCAGCGTGCAGCTGCGCGGCCGAATAGCGGCCCAGAAAACTGCCACAGGCGCGTCTGATCTCTTGCGGCCTGTGTTGTTGATTCAGAATCCGCTTTGGTCTCGCGATGTGTGACCTCGAACTTCATTGTAATCTGGCCTGCTGTATCAGAACATATCCGGATGTTTGTCCGAGTGTATGCTCGGATCAGGAAGCAGTTCTTCAAGCTCAAGCATGATCGGCTGCACAGCCGCTGCTTCAGCATCAGCTGCTTGGCACTTCTTATTTGCCGCTGAGCACACGTTGTCTTTGTCATCATACGCTCTTGCGGCTGGACCTGTGCCAGTCGATGAAGGACCAACACTGCTTGCGTACAGCTGTTACTCTGTTTGAGAGTTTCTGGGAACTGTGACACACTGGAATTTGAAATAGTTTGAGGCTGTGAGCACTTTCGGTGGTCCAAGTGGTTGAAGCTGCGAGAGTAACTGCCATGTCAGTCATTCCTCAAACTTGTTGAAGACGACATGCCCAAGCATGAACATGCACCTGAATGTCTGCCAATTGGGCTTACACAGCGTGCAGACCATTTGTACGACAGGCCCTCCTAGCAGCGCAGCTTCGGGGCAAGCGCGAGGTGCCGGATCCGGTTCTGGGATCTCGATCGAAGGTGAAGGCCAGCGGCTCACAGCAGGTCCAACGATCCAGGTGTCAAGTTTCATTGAAGTGGGCTCTCACTCTGAGGTTCCGAGGTTGCCTTGTGGTGAAAGGGTCATGCTTAACACCACCTGCCGCACAAGGCCAACTACGGCCGCAGGTCCCAGGTGGATGGGCGCAAGGGAGTTCCTGAGAGATGGAGGGGTTCAGCAGATGTGAAGGTGTGCTGGCTTCTACCGGCAGGTAGCGAATTCACGTTAGGTCGGTCTCGTGTAGACGACACGGGCGATGTGCCGAGCTCAAAACACTTGGATTTGGGTCGTGCCCTCTTCAGAGCATCACGCAAACGGGGCCCATGCGCATAGACGGATAGCGGCAGATAGACGGATAGACAGACAGACCGATAAACATGAGATATATAAGACAGACAAGTTAGTTGGCTGTCCTGGACCGTTACTGCCCCGACCGTGTTCGTGTTTGTAAACGTGTGCTTGTGTGTGTGTGTGTGTGTCAGTGTGTTGGGTAAGCTGCTGGTCTTGCGCAATATCTTTCCAAGTCGTGACACACTGTTATCTCCATCCGAGATACACTGAAATTTGTCATTGGAGATTCCGCACTTCGAAAGGTGGTCGTGAGCGCCTTCGAGAACGAGCTCGGAGTGCAAGACCCTGTTGGATTTTGGGATCCCGCTGGGTTCACCGCAGACGGCAGTGTGGAGAACTTCAAGCGCCGACGCCAGACCGAGCTGAAGCACGGAAGGATTTCCATGCTCGCGACAATGGGATACATTACACCAGAGCAACTTGACGGCGCGAAGTGATGTCTGTGTAGATGGCATGCACCGGGTGTTGCTTCCGACACACATGATAATGCATGCATGGAAACATGATGCATTATTGCATGCTAGCTTAGCATTGCATTTTGTAGCTCTGGATCTTGTTTAGAGTTCCAGCAAGGATCACGGGCAAGTTCCCTGGTTATCTTTCACCGAGCGCTGGCCTCAAATTCGCGGACGTCCCCAATGGCCTCGCTGCGATCTCCAAAGTTCCTGCCGCAGGATGGGGTCAAATCCTTGCGTACATGGCATTCTGCGAGGTTTCTCAGGACCAGTCTCCCGGCACCCCAGCTGCAGCGGGCGACTTCGGCTTCAAGGTCTTGACCTCCAGCGACCCTGCTGAGAAGACTAAAAAGTTGTCGGCCGAGCTGGCAAACGGACGCCTCGCGATGATGGCTATCATTGGCATGTTCTTCCAGGCATCAAGCGGATGATTGCAGATGTTTGTTGCAGTGCTACTTATGTCACACATTCGAACGCATGATGACAAACGCCCGCAGTGCTGTATGTTTGCTAACATGCCTGATGCAGCCAATTCCCAACAACACAGTATGCATCGGATGTTGACGAAAGTTGAATCGACATAGTCTATGTTCCATGTAGGACGGTCTGACCGGAAGCGCGTGGGGAGACTGGGCCAACTACACCGCCTCGCCTCTGCGTGCTTTCGAGAATGAGCTCGGAGTGCAAGACCCAGTTGGATTTTGGGATCCCGCTGGGTTCACCGCAGATGGCAGCGTGGAGAACTTCAAGCGCCGCCGCCAGACCGAGCTGAAGCACGGAAGAATTTCCATGCTCGCGACAATGGGATATATCACTCCAGAGCAACTTGTCGGCGAGAAGTGATGTTTTTTTAGATGGTGTGCACATGTGTCATGTGTGTGCATGACGTGTTGTGATCGATGTTTCAATAGCTCGAGATCTTGTGATGTGTTTCGACAAGGATCACGGGCAAGTTCCCTGGGTATCTTTCGCCAAGCGCTGGTCTTAAATTTGCGGACGTCCCCAACGGCCTTGCCGCGATTTCCAAGGTTCCTGCCGCAGGTTGGGGTCAGATTCTTGCCTACATGGCATTCTGCGAGGTTTCTCAGGACCAGTCTCCCGGCACCCCAGCCGCAGCGGGCGACTTCGGCTTCAAGGTCTTGACGTCCAGCGACCCTGCTGAGAAGACGAAAAAGTTGTCGGCCGAGCTGGCAAACGGACGCCTCGCGATGATGGCTATCATTGGCATGTTCTTCCAGGCATCAAGCGGATGATTGCAGATGTTTGTTGCAGTGCTACTTATGTCACACATTCGAACGCATGATGACAAACGCCCGCAGTGCTGTATGTTTGCTAACATGCCTGATGCAGCCAATTCCCAACAACACAGTATGCATCGGATGTTGACGAAAGTTGAGTCGACATAGTCTATGTTCCATGTAGGACGGTCTGACCGGAAGCGCGTGGGGAGACTGGGCCAACTACACCGCCTCGCCTCTGCGTGCTTTCGAGAATGAGCTCGGAGTGCAAGACCCAGTTGGATTTTGGGATCCCGCTGGGTTCACCGCAGATGGCAGCGTGGAGAACTTCAAGCGCCGCCGCCAGACCGAGCTGAAGCACGGAAGAATTTCCATGCTCGCGACAATGGGATATATCACACCCGAGCAACTTGTCGGCGAGAAGTGATGTTTGTTTAGATGGTGTGGACATGTGTCATGTGTGTGCATGACGTGTTGTGATCGATGTTTCAATAGCTCGAGATCTTGTGATGTGTTTCGACAAGGATCACGGGCAAGTTCCCTGGGTATCTTTCGCCAAGCGCTGGTCTTAAATTTGCGGACGTCCCCAACGGCCTTGCCGCGATTTCCAAGGTTCCTGCCGCAGGTTGGGGTCAGATTCTTGCCTACATGGCATTCTGCGAGGTTTCTCAGGACCAGTCTCCTGGCACCCCAGCCGCAGCGGGCGACTTCGGCTTCAAGGTCTTGACGTCCAGCGACCCTGCTGAGAAGACGAAAAAGTTGTCGGCCGAGCTGGCAAACGGACGCCTCGCGATGATGGCTATCATTGGCATGTTCTTCCAGGCATCAAGCGGATGATTGCAGATGTTTGTTGCAGTGCTACTTATGTCACACATTCGAACGCATGATGACAAACGCCCGCAGTGCTGTATGTTTGCTAACATGCCTGATGCAGCCAATTCCCAACAACACAGTATGCATCGGATGTTGACGAAAGTTGAGTCGACATAGTCTATGTTCCATGTAGGACGGTCTGACCGGAAGCGCGTGGGGAGACTGGGCCAACTACACCGCCTCGCCTCTGCGTGCTTTCGAGAATGAGCTCGGAGTGCAAGACCCAGTTGGATTTTGGGATCCCGCTGGGTTCACCGCAGATGGCAGCGTGGAGAACTTCAAGCGCCGCCGCCAGACCGAGCTGAAGCACGGAAGAATTTCCATGCTCGCGACAATGGGATATATCACACCCGAGCAACTTGTCGGCGAGAAGTGATGTTTGTTTAGATGGTGTGGACATGTGTCATGTGTGTGCATGACGTGTTGTGATCGATGTTTCAATAGCTCGAGATCTTGTGATGTGTTTCGACAAGGATCACGGGCAAGTTCCCTGGGTATCTTTCGCCAAGCGCTGGTCTTAAATTTGCGGACGTCCCCAACGGCCTTGCCGCGATTTCCAAGGTTCCTGCCGCAGGTTGGGGTCAGATTCTTGCCTACATGGCATTCTGCGAGGTTTCTCAGGACCAGTCTCCCGGCACCCCAGCCGCAGCGGGCGACTTCGGCTTCAAGGTCTTGACGTCCAGCGACCCTGCTGAGAAGACTAAAAAGTTGTCGGCCGAGCTGGCAAACGGACGCCTCGCGATGATGGCTATCATTGGCATGTTCTTCCAGGCATCAAGCGGATGATTGCAGATGTTTGTTGCAGTGCTACTTATGTCACACATTCGAACGCATGATGACAAACGCCCGCAGTGCTGTATGTTTGCTAACATGCCTGATGCAGCCAATTCCCAACAACACAGTATGCATCGGATGTTGACGAAAGTTGAATCGACATAGTCTATGTTCCATGTAGGACGGTCTGACCGGAAGCGCGTGGGGAGACTGGGCCAACTACACCGCCTCGCCTCTGCGTGCTTTCGAGAATGAGCTCGGAGTGCAAGACCCAGTTGGATTTTGGGATCCCGCTGGGTTCACCGCAGATGGCAGCGTGGAGAACTTCAAGCGCCGCCGCCAGACCGAGCTGAAGCACGGAAGAATTTCCATGCTCGCGACAATGGGATATATCACACCCGAGCAACTTGTCGGCGAGAAGTGATGTTTGTTTCGATGGTGTGCACATGTGTCATGTGTGTGCATGACGTGTTGTGATCGATGTTTCAATAGCTCGAGATCTTGTGATGTGTTTCGACAAGGATCACGGGCAAGTTCCCTGGGTATCTTTCGCCAAGCGCTGGTCTTAAATTTGCGGACGTCCCCAACGGCCTTGCCGCGATTTCCAAGGTTCCTGCCGCAGGTTGGGGTCAGATTCTTGCCTACATGGCATTCTGCGAGGTTTCTCAGGACCAGTCTCCCGGCACCCCAGCCGCAGCGGGCGACTTCGGCTTCAAGGTCTTGACGTCCAGCGACCCTGCTGAGAAGACGAAAAAGTTGTCGGCCGAGCTGGCAAACGGACGCCTCGCGATGATGGCTATCATTGGCATGTTCTTCCAGGCATCAAGCGGATGATTGCAGATGTTTGTTGCAGTGCTACTTATGTCACACATTCGAACGCATGATGACAAACGCCCGCAGTGCTGTATGTTTGCTAACATGCCTGATGCAGCCAATTCCCAACAACACAGTATGCATCGGATGTTGACGAAAGTTGAATCGACATAGTCTATGTTCCATGTAGGACGGTCTGACCGGAAGCGCGTGGGGAGACTGGGCCAACTACACCGCCTCGCCTCTGCGTGCTTTCGAGAATGAGCTCGGAGTGCAAGACCCAGTTGGATTTTGGGATCCCGCTGGGTTCACCGCAGATGGCAGCGTGGAGAACTTCAAGCGCCGCCGCCAGACCGAGCTGAAGCACGGAAGAATTTCCATGCTCGCGACAATGGGATATATCACACCCGAGCAACTTGTCGGCGAGAAGTGATGTTTGTTTCGATGGTGTGCACATGTGTCATGTGTGTGCATGACGTGTTGTGATCGATGTTTCAATAGCTCGAGATCTTGTGATGTGTTTCGACAAGGATCACGGGCAAGTTCCCTGGGTATCTTTCGCCAAGCGCTGGTCTTAAATTTGCGGACGTCCCCAACGGCCTTGCCGCGATTTCCAAGGTTCCTGCCGCAGGTTGGGGTCAGATTCTTGCCTACATGGCATTCTGCGAGGTTTCTCAGGACCAGTCTCCCGGCACCCCAGCCGCAGCGGGCGACTTCGGCTTCAAGGTCTTGACCTCCAGCGACCCTGCTGAGAAGACGAAAAAGTTGTCGGCCGAGCTGGCAAACGGACGCCTCGCGATGATGGCTATCATTGGCATGTTCTTCCAGGCATCAAGCGGATGATTGCAGATGTTTGTTGCAGTGCTACTAATGCCACGCATTCGAACGCATGATGACAAACGCCTACAGTGCCGTATGTTTGCTAACATGCCTGATGCAGCTAATGCCCAACAACACAGTATGCATCGGATGTTGGCGAAAGTTGAGTCGACATAGTCTATGTTGCATGTAGGACGGTCTGACCGGAAGCGCGTGGGGAGACTGGGCCAACTACACTGCCTCGCCTCTGCGTGCCTTCGAGAACGAGCTCGGAGTGCAAGACCCAGTTGGATTTTGGGATCCCGCTGGGTTCACCGCAGATGGCAGCGTGGAGAACTTCAAGCGCCGCCGCCAGACCGAGCTGAAGCACGGAAGAATTTCCATGCTCGCGACAATGGGATATATCACTCCAGAGCAACTTGTCGGCGAGAAGTGATGTTTGTTTAGATGGTGTGCACATGTGTCATGTGTGTGCATGACGTGTTGTGATCGATGTTTCAATAGCTCGAGATCTTGTGATGTGTTTCGACAAGGATCACGGGCAAGTTCCCTGGGTATCTTTCGCCAAGCGCTGGTCTTAAATTTGCGGACGTCCCCTACTTTGCAGTTGAAGTCAATTGGCCAACTACCCTTGATGTTCTACACTATGTGCATTGGGTTGAATCTACCGATATTTGATAGTTTCCCTGGCAGATTGGATTACTTGGTCCGGCTCCTCGATGCTTCGCTCCTCCTAGTTTGGAGGACGCCGGAGTAGTCAGGACGCTGGGTCAGGTAGGCCCGTGTGTGTGTGACAGTTGGTTGTCCGTCATATGCCCTTCTACCACTTCTGATACTGCGACTTCGTGGTCCGTACCTTGCGCCCTTTTCTTTCTTTCTCTTCCTCTCCCGTTCTCTTCGTCTCGCTCTTTCTTTCCTCCTTTTTTCCGCTCCTTCGAGGTCCCGCGTGTCTGCGCTTCTTTCCAGCTGTCTGTGTGGTGTTAGCGAGGGCTAGTTTTGTGGTTGGTGTGCTGCTTCCTCATTTGACAGGAGCTCGGTGGGCGGTCTCTACAGGCCGAACAGTCCCGACGACGACGACGACGACGACGACGACGTCCCCAACGGCCTTGCCGCGATTTCCAAGGTTCCTGCCGCAGGTTGGGGTCAGATTCTTGCCTACATGGCATTCTGCGAGGTTTCTCAGGACCAGTCTCCCGGCACCCCAGCCGCAGCGGGCGACTTCGGCTTCAAGGTCTTGACGTCCAGCGACCCTGCTGAGAAGACTAAAAAGTTGTCGGCCGAGCTGGCAAACGGACGCCTCGCGATGATGGCTATCATTGGCATGTTCTTCCAGGCATCAAGCGGATGATTGCAGATGTTTGTTGCAGTGCTACTTATGTCACACATTCGAACGCATGATGACAAACGCCCGCATTGCTGTATGTTTGCTAACATGCCTGATGCAGCCAATTCCCAACAACACAGTATGCATCGGATGTTGACGAAAGTTGAATCGACATAGTCTATGTTCCATGTAGGACGGTCTGACCGGAAGCGCGTGGGGAGACTGGGCCAACTACACCGCCTCGCCTCTGCGTGCTTTCGAGAATGAGCTCGGAGTGCAAGACCCAGTTGGATTTTGGGATCCCGCTGGGTTCACCGCAGATGGCAGCGTGGAGAACTTCAAGCGCCGCCGCCAGACCGAGCTGAAGCACGGAAGAATTTCCATGCTCGCGACAATGGGATATATCACACCCGAGCAACTTGTCGGCGAGAAGTGATGTTTGTTTAGATGGTGTGGACATGTGTCATGTGTGTGCATGACGTGTTGTGATCGATGTTTCAATAGCTCGAGATCTTGTGATGTGTTTCGACAAGGATCACGGGCAAGTTCCCTGGGTATCTTTCGCCAAGCGCTGGTCTTAAATTTGCGGACGTCCCCAACGGCCTTGCCGCGATTTCCAAGGTTCCTGCCGCAGGTTGGGGTCAGATTCTTGCCTACATGGCATTCTGCGAGGTTTCTCAGGACCAGTCTCCCGGCACCCCAGCCGCAGCGGGCGACTTCGGCTTCAAGGTCTTGACCTCCAGCGACCCTGCTGAGAAGACGAAAAAGTTGTCGGC